GCAGAGAAAACCCACCGGCGTGACGTCGCTCGGATCTCCAACGAAAGTTTGGCAATACTTTCGTACCCATCATATGCGTGTGAGGCATCCCCAAATGGCGAGATGCGAGACGCCACCTTCATGTTGGTACGTCGGACCTGTGGCTAGACCCGTAAGTCCGTGACGGTAGTTGTAGGCCCACGTAAATGAAATCCGTCGAGACTTCGAAGAGACCTTCGGGTGTGTTCACGGATTTGGATCCAAGCTGGAATCGACCTCCATAGTTGTAGACAAGCACCGGCAGGTTACGACCGAGGGCATCGACAGGAGCCCATACATCGAGAAACAAACAGTCCTCTGACGACGTGCAGTCGACGTCCGTATCCGCGAGGTTGCCAGCGTTGATCTCGGTCTCCACGTCAGGCCATTCTGGTGCAGCGAAACGAAGATGACATGTAGGAGGCTTAGCGTAGCGAATGTTCTGAAACTTGTAGTATCCGACGGTCGTGTTGCCAGCGATGGCCTGGACAGTGGTGTAGTCGAGTTTAATGATGGGGGGTGCTGAAGGGTCATTGCTTCTTGCAGTGGATGCAGCAATGACGAATAGTAGAGCGTAGAGCTACATCCGTGAAGTGAAGAGGGGGGGGGGCTTCGAAGCGGTAAATGTGAAAGTGGCAGATTTACGCGAATGATCCTAGCCGTGAGGATCGAAAGATTGGATGCATCTACAGTACCTAAAGGAACTCGGACATTGCGCTGATTCGTACACAAGGTATCACGACGTGATACCTTGTGATTCAAGTAGTCGGCGCTTTGCATCTATAAGTTAGAGTGCAATTCCGTTAGTTTACTCGTCCTGGGCGAGTCGTCCATGCATTATGATCAGTGATCATTCAACGATTCATTGATCAGCGGGTAGTTTGTGATTCCCAAACAATCAAATTATGAAGTTACAGTACCGTCCCGTGGGCCACGACTCGTGGCACGAACCGTGTGGGATCATCTACAGCTGTTGATGCTTTTTGAATGGAGAGTTGCCAGTTCCATATTTTTTAACGACCCGCCGCAAAGCGAGACAGCGATGTTTCTTTTAGAATTGCGATGTTTTTGCTTTGCTGCTTATTTTTAACTCATTTGTGTCGAGCATTCAGAGCTTACTAAAATCAAGATTTTTTCCTTCTCGTCAAAACTTATCACACCTAATTTAAAAAAATCACCTCATATTGTGTCACACTAAAATCAAGATTTTTTTCCTTCTCGTCAAAACTTATCACAGCTAATTTAAAAAAATCACCTCATATTGTGTCACAGTGAAATACTAGAACAAATACTCGTCAGTTTTAAAGTCATCACTACTGCTGCTTTAGAGCTTGACCGAAAAGTCTAACAAATAGGTATGAGATAGCTCTCGTCGGTAATCAGGAGATGCATCGGTCGCCGACCCCGACGGTCAGTATTATCCATACACGATATCCCAACCTTCGATGCTCATGCTTAGATTTTATCAAATTCAAATCGAGCGAACCACGACTTTGTCACATATTTGACGAACGATACCATTCTGAAATGATTGTGGCCAGATTCTACCCAATGACGTTTAAAAAAAAACACTAACTGATCCAATGTCAAATTGTATTGGCGTGCGTTGTCTGGATATTTTCAAAAACATTGTGTTTCCTCAGTCACCCTCCAAGTCTTACGTTAATTTCAATAAGATAAAACTTGGCTACAAATGAGGCTGTTTGAATGTCGTTCTTGTCCGACTTGGTCAACATTCACCCATTCTGAGTTAAAGTTTCACATTTCATTACGTATTACGACCGTTTTACGTAGAGTTGTATCAAACTGTTTGTTTAAAGTTACTACGATATTAGCCAAAGTAAAGTTTCTGTAGTGAACTGTGGGTTTCCACCTCGGTTTCCCTTGCACTTAGAGCCGGAGCTGGGGGTGTCCACCCAAATGTGTCTACAGCCCAGTGGCTAGAAGACAATGGGTTAAATTCTGGTGGTGTGTCTGACGCCTGTCGGCTGACGATATCACAGACACTCGGACAGCCAGTGTCCTTGTGTATTATACTAGGATTTAGTTAGGCCTACTGCATGTTTCCTTTCATGTGGATGCATGTCCATTTCTGACTGCTGCCTGTCGCTCTGATCAAGTGGCAGCAGCATTGAGGAGGAACGGGCTGGCTAGCGCCAGACCCATGATCCTCCTCACTCTTCGATTTGCTAGGAGCTAGCTAAATACATTCGGCCTATACTTCAGTGCGGGTTGGCCCCCGCCTTGCTGGTGTTCCTGCTTCGCTTCAAATCCCGGGCTACACTACAGTTTCGTACAGGTTTACCGAGCCTATGGATATAAATATCCAAAGAATTTCCAATATTACAAGCTAGCACTTCTTTATTTTTGATTTCGCAGCTATTTTTTTCGACCTCTACATGTAGTTCTGAGCGCTACCGTCACTAAGATGACTTTTTTTTAACACTTAAATTACTTTTTAGTGTTTCAAGTCTCGTTTCATTCGCATGCAAGTTACAATACAAGTAGCCCCAACATTTTTTGTCCTAGACAATAGGACCAAAATTCATTGAAGTACGACGGACAAAAAAGTCTTAATGCTTCTATTAAAAACGAGGGTGCTGCGCTCCAGCTTATGTGCGAAATATCTGATACAACACAGATCTGCTTTGTTATTAGTGACACATCTGTCCATTTTAGGATGATAAGCATACTCGGATAGAAGAAGTAAAGGGCTTTATGTACATGGAAGGAAGACCGTGTAAATGATGGTATTGCAAGGCGCTTCATGTAGCGTTTGGTCCTATTTTTGTCCTCTAATGTTAAGGTTATCAGCACCAACACCTGGTGCTGGGGCTAAGTGCAGATAGCCGTGTCGACAGAATCCTGTACCGCAGTGTAACTTCAACATGCATATTGCGTGTCGGGCGTGGCGCGTCATGTGCTTTACCTGCGGAGCAGCCAGCAGTCACAATCGGCAGCACCATTTCCTCACCCCGTGTCGCCGTCGTCGGCACTCAGCGATCCAAGGGTGTTATTATACCCGGTAACTTACCGGTACGTAGGACAAGCGGGTAAATACACGTCTTCACTCGCGATCTGTCTCTTTTGCAAATGGTATTGATAATACTACGGGGGATAAAATCAGCTTGTTTCCTCAGCTCCATCGATTGTATCGATGAAGCCGAGGAAACTCTGTTCTCAAAACGCTAAGCTTTGCAGACTTTTTGGGCCTTTTGATAGTATTATTATAGTTCATTTGGATTCAGGATCATCACATCCGGAAGTTTATCAAAGGCGAAAACCGGGTGCAGTACTGTATACCAGTTTTTATTTAATGAAGTTTTAAAAGCTCGATTTACCGTATTAGCCGCTCTTACTTCGATCTATCCCATTTTTTAACCTCGATATATAAAACAATCGAGTTACTAAAAATCGAGACCACTTCTGATAATTCTGAGCAAAACTCGGATTCAATCTCTGATCCATGTTCACGTAAAATCAAAACAGTTCAAGTTGAGGTCATTCGCTCTTCCGCTGGCCCGCCGTCTCACACTATTGGCGTCGCTTACCTCCCGCACAGCATTCCACTCAAGTACCAGCTTGCACCTTCGTGTTCTTTTTCCTGCGCGTGCATCCACTACCTTCCCATTCTCGACATCACTGTATCATGGACACCAAGGCCCCACTCTCACTCGACGCCTTCATAAAGCTGGCCTTCTGTCTAGAAGGCCGAGACAAACTTTCCAAGGTACAGTAAGCCAGTGGTACAAATACAATCTACAGCGTCTACACTCTCTAACACATCACTAATTCATATCCTAAATCCCCTCTAGATGCTGCAATATGGCAGTCGAGCGCTGGCCTTCTACGTCTTGTCGGCTGACCCTAAGAGCGACGTGGGTCAGCGTCTACACGCGCTCTACAAAGTCATGCAGCAGTCTCGTAAGGCATTTCGCCTTGGAAAGAGCGTCACGTACTACAAGAAACTGCAAACGCTGTCCGGTAGCAAGAGTCTCACTGAGACGCAGCGCTATCTGCAGTTCATTC